TCTGAGTAATTCGAGTTTCATTCGAGTCAAATTGTGTCTGTTGTGCTTGCTTGGTAGGTTCAACTTGAACATACCAACTCTTTCTCCTCTGTTCGTGGGCTTCTAATGACCCAACATGTTCATCCACAGTGAGAATTGACAAGTCCTTTGATTCTTCAGTGACGCACACGATACTTTCAAAATCTTTTGTGAGGGATCTCAAAACTTTTCCCACAACTTGGTTAGGTGGCATTTGTTCTCCATTCCTGTCGAGTTGGTTGGCCACTTTCTCCACCCGAGTTATGTACTCGGTTACCTGCTCTTTGGGCCCCATCTTCAACTATTCAAACTCCCTTATGAGAGCTTGTATTCGGACTTGTCTGACATTGTTGTCACCTTTATACGCAACCTCCAAAATTTCTCAAGCTTCTTTTGCTTATTTTGCATTAGCTATTTTCTCGAACCCCGATTCATCAACTGCATTGTACAGAAAGTACAAAGCTAGATTATCTTTCACCCGTGTTTTTTTCAATAGAGAAATTTGGGTCATTGTCTGATTTTCATCTTCCGCGAGTTCATTGTACTCGTTCTTCATTATGTCCCATACATCTTGGTACTCAAGAAGAACCTTCACTGCCGACACCAATTGTCGTAATTCATCTTTTCCGACAATTGTGGCACACTCGTTCCATTGACTACTTTCATCATCTCTCTCACAAAACACTCAACCACTCATTATTTTCCTTCACGGTACACTCAAAGCGTAATGTTCTTATACCACTTTATAGAAGAAAAAAAAAACTTAAAACACAAATAATTGGACTCTTCAATTCAGTGTGGTTATTTTCATTAAACCTTAGCAATCTTTAAATAGGTGCAAATAGAGTCTTGGACGGGCCGACTACAAATAATAAAAATTAAAAATAAAATATTAATCCACTCAAAATAAAAATAATTACTTAATCTATCTTATCAATAAAATAAAATAATATTCTACCTAAATAAATAAAAAATCAAAACTATCAATCCCTATTTTATCTCTATCAAAATTAAAATAAATATTACTAAATCCAAACTAATAAAATAAGACTAAAACAAAATTATTATAATATATATATATATATATATATATATATATATATATATATATATATATAAAGAGTCAATTATAAAAATACGTTTGTGCGTAATGTTGTGACGTAAACATTAAATAACTTACAGAAAAAATCCTCAAGACGAATATAAAATCTAAAAATATTAGAAAAAAAAAGCTTTTTACATTAAAAAAATAGAAGAGGCATAAATTCACAATCAAGACCTTGCAAATAGGACTTTGATGTTTGTATGTAGACCAAGACTTTGTTATAACTTTGTTGAATTTTCACAAGTGGTATATATTTCCTTTTGCTTTTCTTGTAGAGCATTCATCACAAACCCACATTAACATTAATTTTCTGGATATATATAGAACCGATCGACCTTCCTTCAAGAGGCATCTTGACAACTTCATGAGAGGTAATACTATGACAGACGTTTTTTAAATTAAAATCAAATTAAGATAATACCAATTTAGTTTAGTGTATTTTTTTAAGTTGAAATCATATTATTAAGATTATACTATTTTAATATAAAATGCTTTTATTTAAATCACTTTCACACGACTCTAACTTAAAACTATTTTGAATAAAAACTGTGTCTTCTTAACACGATTTTGATACATTATTTTATACAATCAAATTTTATTCAATGTCTCACTTTATATATATAAATTATCATATGTTATAAAGGTTGAATTCCAATCATTATTTACAGATAAAATTATGAATATAAAAAGCAATAACTTATAAATATTGAATTAATAATTCGTTTTATGAATAGATATAAAAAGGTTTGCAAAAGTTATAAAAATGTAATTTTATGTTATTATTTAATAAAAAATTATATGTTTGTACATTTATAATTTTTTAAAATTTTATAAATGTTACCATTAAAGAAAATTTTAGTTTATTGGAATTATAAAAGAGAATTTATAATAATTTAATTCATCTTATTAGTCTAACTATTGAATATTTTGCTGAAAAAAAAACTTTAAATATTTTTTTTTAGTAACTATCAATCTTTTCTCAATTGATCTTATTCCTTCACTTAACATGAGAACAATGCCTTAATATTTATTATAAGAAAAGAAAGTTTAAGTATCAAAAGACATTGATACATGGTAAACAATAAATATTAGTTATATTTTTCTTAAAAGGTTTTTGCTTCCCCTCTGAGACTATTCATCACTTCCAAAATTACAGTTTTCATTTAATTGATAGTAATTTATTTCAGCTTTAGTATCAGATTAGTTGCTTAAAGGGTGTTATCAAATATGATGATGTGGGTTAGTTTGTTCAAATATTATATATTCATGAAAACACTTGTTTTTAATGGTACATAATTAATTTAGATGCAAAAGATGATTAATTTAAATAAACAATCATTTAAAAAAGTAAAATAATAAAATAATTATTTTAATTTAAAAAATAGTTAAATTTAAATTGAGGATTATTTAAAGATAAAACTAGTAAGATAATTATTTTAATTTAAGAGAACGATTATTTAAAAAATAAAAGTAGAAGTAAAATTGTATACGTGGAAAAATCAAATAATAATAGATGAAGTAATTTTATGAAAAAATTACTGTACAGATTTGTTTGTTAAAAAGTAATAAGAACTGTGTTCTGAAATGATAATTAGCTCAGTTTAGGCTGTTGTAGTATATAGTCTGCGAGTGTTCGTTTATTGACCTGCTCAACCATGATTTTCTTAAGTTTTGATAATAAAATAAAAAATAATATTATTATATTAAATAATTAATAATTATATATAATATCATTATTCTTTTGAACTTTACTTTATAAATAGATTTTGAGTATAATTTAACTTTTCTTTAATATACATACTTTTTTTCTTCTATTAAGAGTTATAATATCATATGTTTTGAATACACATTTTTTTTCTTTATCTTTCCCTTAATCTAGTTAAACATATTTTAAAGACAAAATCATGATTTTTAAATATAATAATTAACAGTAAAAAAGTTCTTCATATATTTATCACAAATTTTGAACTCAACAATGACATTTAGATATCTTCTAGCAATAAATAATGCTCCCTATAAATATATTACTGAACAAAGGAAACAACTCAAATGTCATTGTTTGGATTGAGAACTGATAACAAAGACATAAGAGATTAGAAGCAAGTTTTATCCACCCAATCGCAAAAGAATAACATTGAAATAAAAAAAACAAAAAAAGATTGTATATACACTGTTGTATATACACTGTTCGGGAAGCAAATTCTCATTTATTTCAGATCACAGATGCGTCTGCAATTTTCATGGTGTAGAACATTAAACAAGGTTAACAGCTTAAACACCAATAAGAATACCGTTTCAATAAATTTCTCAAATCAACCAAACAAAACTTGGCCCAGAAAATAGTTATCAATATGAAGGAGCAGGCAGAAAGGGAAATGGAGCAACAGAGGCATATGCTACAGGAGGACGTGATTCAGTCCAATATGGACGCTTGGCCTTGATATTCTGATTATCATTATTATCATCCAATTCTAATGCTTCCCCAGAAGATGCAGATTTCACAAAACCCTTTGCATTGTCTTCTAAGAATTGTTCGCCATTGGAGCGACGGTGAATCAGAAGCCCAGTCATAAACACGGGGAGATAAAGGAGACTAGCGTGGAACATTCTCCTTGCTTTTTCTCTGGTACGGTCTCTATAGAATGAAAATGCTGCAGCGCTTATTGCAAGTGTAAGTACCGTGGACTCCAGAGAAAACCATTCAGAAGTCACACCCCCTGTTCAAGGTGCAGAAACATGACTGTCAACATTCTCCTTACGACAAAAAAATTCATATTAAAGGGAGAGTGAAAACATTTTACCATTTCAATTGTCTTTTTAACTAAAATCTACCATAAATTATCATTGTATATCCTCATTCTAATAGATTCTTGACATAGGATTAAGGTTTTCAGCTTTTTGCAAAAGTTATTTAACAGAACAAGACACTGAATATATTGTCAGTTTTTTCTGTCTGACCCCATGTCCACAGACGAAAAAGGTTTAAAATTCTTAGATTGAAAGGTATATTCTTGATTGGCTTAAAATTATACTTTTTTTTTATTTTGCAAATTACAAAATATTCAATAATACATATAACTTTGTAAACAACAAAGGGCAGAACTTTATTTAAAGATTTCTTGAGAAGTTTTCTACTACAGATTAGATTTAAAAGGCATCCGTATCCTGCCAAAGCATTCAATCAATACCAAAATTAAGATTAAAAGTCTCAACAAAAAAAAAAATCAATCAAGTGTTTCTAGAGAAAGGAAACATTTAACTCACAATCATAAGCCAAGAACCCCAAAGGGATTAGATATATAGAGTTCCTTAAGGCCACCAATGCTGTTCTCCGCCCAGATGCATCGGCAAGAGAATACATCTTAAACCTAAACTTGCAACACAAAACGCACACATGCCAATATGTAAAGAATAGTGTACATAGTTTAGAAATAAGTAACTGGAGGAGAAATATATTAAGAGTGTGGTTATTTCACCACCACATGCAGCAATCAATGTACCAAGGTCCATATTTAATGAGGCACAAAAAGAAGTAATTTGTAAGCTAAATGCTAATATAAATTTGGAAAAATTAACTTGTGATTCTCTATACTTTCTTTTAAAAACTGTCTTGATCCTTGTACTTCAATTTGTGATTGGGTCCCCATAACTTCGGAAAAAAAAAGTTGTTCTCTTGAATCGGATTTGATATCAGAGTCATTCAGTTCTTTTTGTTTAACAACAGCAAGAACTTTAGCTTGATATTAACTAGACAAACAATACGAACACCTACAACTTTAACAAATATATAATTGGGGGACACCAAAATAGTTGTATGAATCAAAATTCCACAATAAGCAAACGAAGATACAAGAGCATACCCTCCAGCAGCATAGTCACTGCGACACATATAAGCTAGGGCCATAAAATGTGGTATCTGCCAAAAATACAAAGCAGCTGGAAGAATCATTGCATTTAGTGAAATGTCATTAGAAGCAGCAGCCCATCTGAAAATCAATAACAAAGAGGTGATGGAGGGCAGAAAATAAACCTGTACATGCCTATGCACATGGTGAATGAAGTGAGATAACACTAATAAAGAAACAATAACACACTAATTCCAATTCCAAAAATTTGAAGCTCGTTTTCCAGTAGTTAGGTATTGAATTGCAACATATCACTCATTAACACCATTTGACTAACAATTTTCTATTCCTTCAAGCAAATAAGTAGAAGACAGCAAACACAGGGGGTTAAGCTTTACAATTAATCTGTGCCAATTAAACTAGTAATACTTCAACCAATAGAAAATCAATAAATTGATCAGATAAAATTCTTCTTTGGCAATGGAATTGAGTCTCGCCATATCAGTCTTGTGTGGAAAACCTTAACTTCAAATGGATTTATTTTAAACGAAGTAAAAAAAAAACCTAATAGTAACATATTCCTCGAGCATTCTGAAGTTCACAATACATAGGAAGGTATATAAACAGTACATAATTTACCCCAAAAGTGGTGGAATAGCGCCAACAACAGCTCCCACCCATGTATTTACATGATGAATCTGCTTCAAGGGAGTATACACAAATGCATACAGGACTAGGTTGGAAGCAGCGAGCCCAGCAGCTAACATATTAGTCTGGAATAACCTTGTCATAAGTTTTCAATATAAGTCTCTCCACTCAAAGCATATCAAACATTTGATAAGAAATCCATTCATAGTGTTACAAGTTATACAAGAAAAGCATACAACGAAGAATGTAAGCAAAATTTGTTTCAAAACCTGTGTTGCTAGCAGAGCTGTACCCGCTAATCCAACAGAGGACGCCCAGCCAATTGCATGAGGCTTTGTGATTCGTCCTGAGGGTAGTGGCCTTCGACTCGTTCTCTTCATTTTAGCATCATTATTGATCTCAAACACCTAAAACAGACACAACTATATTTAATAGATCTTGTGTTGACAAAATATCTAAGAGACTGTAGAATATTCTCTTGTATTCTCCTACACTCTAAAACAGAAGTACTAAAAACCAGAAAACAAATTAATGACAATAGACAATTTAGATTAGGATAATCTCCTCTCTTCCAGGAACCAACCTGATTCAAAGAGTTAGCAGATGCAGCAACCATCATGGTACCCAAGCAAGTCCAAGAAAGTGCTGAAAAATCAACAGCACTACCACTCCCCAAGACAAATCCAGTCCCAGATGTTGCAACCACAAGCATGCTAGAATTGAGTTAAAAATGATTAGTTAGAAAGGTTGTTTGTTAAAAGAATAGAGTCATACTAGTGAGGATTTATTGTGATAATTTTACAATGGTTTTCTTTTTAAAGAATGATAAATAGTCGAAAGGAACAAAACACATGGATTTGAAGTATTCATCAGTAAAAGAGGAACTACAAAAATAGAGTGTCAATTGAACATATTATTATAAATTTAATGATAGCAGATTCGTTAACTACAGGTTTACCACCCATGACATTCATTGGCCATGTTGAAAGAATGGATAAGTCCTTGTTAACAATTTAGTTTGGTGTATGTATATACATCATGGTTGTAATGCTTANGGTTGAATTCCAATCATTATTTACAGATAAAATTATGAATATAAAAAGCAATAACTTATAAATATTGAATTAATAATTCGTTTTATGAATAGATATAAAAAGGTTTGCAAAAGTTATAAAAATGTAATTTTATGTTATTATTTAATAAAAAATTATATGTTTGTACATTTATAATTTTTTAAAATTTTGTAAATGTTACCATTAAAGAAAATTTTAGTTTATTGGAATTATAAAAGAGAATTTATAATAATTTAATTCATCTTATTAGTCTAACTATTGAATATTTTGCTGAAAAAAAAAACATTAAATATTTTTTTTTAGTAACTATCAATCTTTTCTCAATTGATCTTATTCCTTCACCTAACATGAGAACAATGCCTTTATATTTATTATAAGAAAAGAAAGTTTAAGTATCAAAAGACATTGATACATGGTAAACAATAAATATTAGTTATATTTTTCTTAAAAGGTTTTTGCTTCCCCTCTGAGACTATTCATCACTTCCAAAATTACAGTTTTCATTTAATTGATAGTAATTTATTTCAGCTTTAGTATCAGATTAGTTGCTTAAAGGGTGTTATCAAATATGATGATGTGGGTTAGTTTGTTCAAATATTATATATTCATGAAAACACTTGTTTTTAATGGTACATAATTAATTTAGATGCAAAAGATGATTAATTTAAATAAACAATCATTTAAAAAAGTAAAATAATAAAATAATTATTTTAATTTAAAAAATAGTTAAATTTAAATTGAGGATTATTTAAAGATAAAACTAGTAAGATAATTATTTTAATTTAAGAGAACGATTATTTAAAAAATAAAAGTAGAAGTAAAATTGTATACGTAGAAAAATCAAATAATAATAGATGAAGTAATTTTATGAAAAAATTACTGTACAGATTTGTTTGTTAAAAAGTAATAAGAACTGTGTTCTGAAATGATAATTAGCTCAGTTTAGGCTGTTGTAGTATATAGTCTGCGAGTGTTCGTTTATTGACCTGCTCAACCATGATTTTCTTAAGTTTTGATAATAAAATAAAAAATAATATTATTATATTAAATAATTAATAATTATATATAATATCATTATTCTTTTGAACTTTACTTTATAAATAGATTTTGAGTATAATTTAACTTTTCTTTAATATACATACTTTTTTTCTTCTATTAAGAGTTATAATATCATATGTTTTGAATACACATTTTTTTTCTTTATCTTTCCCTTAATCTAGTTAAACATATTTTAAAGACAAAATCATGATTTTTAAATATAATAATTAACAGTAAGAAAGTTCTTCATATATTTATCACAAATTTTGAACTCAACAATGACATTTAGATATCTTCTAGCAATAAATAATGCTCCCTATAAATATATTACTGAACAAAGGAAACAACCCAAATGTCATTGTTTGGATTGAGAACTGATAACAAAGACATAAGAGATTAGAAGCAAGTTTTATCCACCCAATCGCAAAAGAATAACATTGAAATAAAAAAAACAAAAAAAGATTGTATATACACTGTTGTATATACACTGTTCGGGAAGCAAATTCTCATTTATTTCAGATCACAGATGCGTCTGCAATTTTCATGGTGTAGAACATTAAACAAGGTTAACAGCTTAAACACCAATAAGAATACCGTTTCAATAAATTTCTCAAATCAACCAAACAAAACTTGGCCCAGAAAATAGTTATCAATATGAAGGAGCAGGCAGAAAGGGAAATGGAGCAACAGAGGCATATGCTACAGGAGGACGTGATTCAGTCCAATATGGACGCTTGGCCTTGATATTCTGATTATCATTATTATCATCCAATTCTAATGCTTCCCCAGAAGATGCAGATTTCACAAAACCCTTTGCATTGTCTTCTAAGAATTGTTCGCCATTGGAGCGACGGTGAATCAGAAGCCCAGTCATAAACACGGGGAGATAAAGGAGACTAGCGTGGAACATTCTCCTTGCTTTTTCTCTGGTACGGTCTCTATAGAATGAAAATGCTGCAGCGCTTATTGCAAGTGTAAGTACCGTGGACTCCAGACAAAACCATTCAGAAGTCACGCCCCCTGTTCAAGGTGCAGAAACATGACTGTCAACATTCTCCTTACGACAAAAAAATTCATATTAAAGGGAGAGTGAAAACATTTTACCATTTCAATTGTCTTTTTAACTAAAATCTACCATAAATTATCATTGTATATCCTCATTCTAATAGATTCTTGACATAGGATTAAGGTTTTCAGCTTTTTGCAAAAGTTATTTAACAGAACAAGACACTGAATATATTGTCAGTTTTTTCTGTCTGACCCCATGTCCACAGACGAAAAAGGTTTAAAATTCTTAGATTGAAAGGTATATTCTTGATTGGCTTAAAATTATACTTTTTTTTTATTTTGCAAATTACAAAATATTCAATAATACATATAACTTTGTAAACAACAAAGGGCAGAACTTTATTTAAAGATTTCTTGAGAAGTTTTCTACTACAGATTAGATTTAAAAGGCATCCGTATCCTGCCAAAGCATTCAATCAATACCAAAATTAAGATTAAAAGTCTCAACAAAAAAAAAATCAATCAAGTGTTTCTAGAGAAAGGAAACATTTAACTCACAATCATAAGCCAAGAACCCCAAAGGGATTAGATATATAGAGTTCCTTAAGGCCACCAATGCTGTTCTCCGCCCAGATGCATCGGCAAGAGAATACATCTTAAACCTAAACTTGCAACACAAAACGCACACATGCCAATATGTAAAGAATAGTGTACATAGTTTAGAAATAAGTAACTGGAGGAGAAATATATTAAGAGTGTGGTTATTTCACCACCACATGCAGCAATCAATGTACCAAGGTCCATATTTAATGAGGCACAAAAAGAAGTAATTTGTAAGCTAAATGCTAATATAAATTTGGAAAAATTAACTTGTGATTCTCTATACTTTCTTTTAAAAACTGTCTTGGTCCTTGTACTTCAATTTATGATTGGGTCCCCATAACTTCGGAAAAAAAAAAGTTGTTCTCTTGAATCGGATTTGATATCAGAGTCATTCAGTTCTTTTTGTTTAACAACAGCAAGAACTTTAGCTTGATATTAACTAGACAAACAATACGAACACCTACAACTTTAACAAATATATAATTGGGGGACACCAAAATAGTTGTATGAATCAAAATTCCACAATAAGCAAACGAAGATACAAGAGCATACCCTCCAGCAGCTTAGTCACTGCGACACATATAAGCTAGGGCCATAAAATGTGGTATCTGCCAAAAATACAAAGCAGCTGGAAGAATCATTGCATTTAGTGAAATGTCATTAGAAGCAGCAGCCCATCTGAAAATCAATAACAAAGAGGTGATGGAGGGCAGAAAATAAACCTGTACATGCCTATGCACATGGTGAATGAAGTGAGATAACACTAATAAAGAAACAATAACACACTAATTCCAATTCCAAAAATTTGAAGCTCGTTTTCCAGTAGTTAGGTATTGAATTGCAACATATCACTCATTAACACCATTTGACTAACAATTTTCTATTCCTTCAAGCAAATAAGTAGAAGACAGCAAACACAGGGGGTTAAGCTTTACAATTAATCTGTGCCAATTAAACTATTAATACTTCAACCAATAGAAAATCAATAAATTGATCAGATAAAATTCTTCTTTGGCAATGGAATTGAGTCTCGCCATATCAGTCTTGTGTGGAAAACCTTAACTTCAAATGGATTTATTTTAAACGAAGTAAAAAAAAAACCTAATAGTAACATATTCCTCGAGCATTCTGAAGTTCACAATACATAGGAAGGTATATAAACAGTACATAATTTACCCCAAAAGTGGTGGAATAGCGCCAACAACAGCTCCCACCCATGTATTTACATGATGAATCTGCTTCAAGGGAGTATACACAAATGCATACAGGACTAGGTTGGAAGCAGCGAGCCCAGCAGCTAACATATTAGTCTGGAATAACCTTGTCATAATTTTTCAATATAAGTCTCTCCACTCAAAGCATATCAAACATTTGATAAGAAATCCATTCATAGTGTTACAAGTTATACAAGAAAAGCATACAACGAAGAATGTAAGCAAAATTTGTTTCAAAACCTGTGTTGCTAGCAGAGCTGTACCCGCTAATCCAACAGAGGACGCCCAGCCAATTGCATGAGGCTTTGTGATTCGTCCTGAGGGTAGTGGCCTTCGACTCGTTCTCTTCATTTTAGCATCATTATTGATCTCAAACACCTAAAACAGACACAACTATATTTAATAGATCTTGTGTTGACAAAATATCTAAGAGACTGTAGAATATTCTCTTGTATTCTCCTACACTCTAAAACAGAAGTACTAAAAACCAGAAAACAAATTAATGACAATAGACAATTTAGATTAGGATAATCTCCTCTCTTCCAGGAACCAACCTGATTCAAAGAGTTAGCAGATGCAGCAACCATCATGGTACCCAAGCAAGTCCAAGAAAGTGCTGAAAAATCAACAGCACTACCTCTCCCCAAGACAAATCCAGTCCCAGATGTTGCAACCACAAGCATGCTAGAATTGAGTTAAAAATGATTAGTTAGAAAGGTTGTTTGTTAAAAGAATAGAGTCATACTAGTGAGGATTTATTGTGATAATTTTACAATGGTTTTCTTTTTAAAGAATGATAAATAGTCGAAAGGAACAAAACACATGGATTTGAAGTATTCATCAGTAAAAGAGGAACTACAAAAATAGAGTGTCAATTGAACATATTATTTTATAAATTTAATGATAGCAGATTCGTTAACTACAGGTTTACCACCCATGACATTCATTGGCCATGTTGAAAGAATGGATAAGTCCTTGTTAACAATTTAGTTTGGTGTATGTATATACATCATGGTTGTAATGCTTATAGTGTTTGACACTTGTGATTTCTATTATAGATGTTTCTGTTTATTCTATCATTCACATTACCTGGTATACGTTATTGTTTTATTTAGTGAAGTGACAAAATGTATCTTTGAAAGGAGATTAAAGATATCTACTACATTTTCATTAAAGTTAAGTTAGATGATTTGTGATACATGGAAGGAATCTTCTAGCTTAAGTCAATGAATGATAATGAATGTATAGTGTGCACTTAAAGTTTAATGTTAAATCTTCAAGTCATTACATGAACCAAGTGGGAGAATGTTAGATTATTTTAATCTAATATTGGTACATGTAATATATGGAATAACTTCCATGTGAAGGTTTCTAATGTGATGATTATTAGATTATAAATATATTAAAGTTATGGGAATTGTTGTAGAGTTATTAAAATCATTTCCCTCTCTTCTCACTTCATTAAGGGTATATTATGGTACTTTAATAAATATTTCAAAAGCTACCTAGAAGTTACATTACAATTCTTCTGTGAATGAGAAAGTTTATGTTCCTGAACAAAGAAAGGCAAGTACTTTGACAGAAGAAAAAGTCATCCAGGCACATTCTATATCATCAAGAAAGTCATCAAAGGAAGTAAGAAAAAAATATCCATCCAGAGATCTTTTACAATGGATGCTGGTATGTTCTTGAACCCTTCTAACGATATAATTTTGTGAGAATCATAGATCCTAAGGTCCCTATGAAATATTTATTATACATTCCAATTCAATTCAAGAAACTACTCTATTTTATAAGGATATTTTATAAGGACCTGAGAATCTATGATTCTCACAAAATTATATTGTTAGAAGGGTTTAAGAACATACCTGGATCCATTGTAAAAGATCTCTTGATGGATATTTTCCCTTCTCTTACTTCCTAAGAAATCTTAAGTGGACGAGTACGATTACACTCATTAAACCTCGCATCCATAGTACTAAGTCCAAGTATGATTACTTTCGTTATAGGGTTCTCATAGGTACTTAATCCCAGGAGAGTTATGTCTGGTTCGTGAGACTGGTTTTCCATGAGAATCCGACTTTTATGGAATATTGTTTCCCACTTACATATGACTAGTAGACTTAAGACCTCCAAAACCCCTCCCTTGTTGGAACTAGACATCTTGAGGATAAAATTTTACAAGATTGAATATCTATACGTCTATGATAGTTCAACAGGCCAAGAAAGAGTTAGGATATCTTAGAGGGAATTCTTGCACTTTCAAGGCAAAAGTTGGCCCAACTTCCGGGAATTTCTATCGAGGGAGTTAAAAAGGGCGGCTACACCATTTCAGACAACTCGTCAGGTAACAAGCCTGATGTTATCTTGATTGGAACTGGTTCTGAGTTGGAAATTGCTACTGCTGCTGGTAAAGTGAGGATCTCCAATACAGAGAACGAGGCTAATTCATATCCTCTACAAACAAAACGATTCCAGTCCACAAAATCTTCTTCTAATGTTCTTGGAGATTGAGATCGTAATTCTATATCCTAAATCTAAATAGTAATTTATTTGCACAGATACATACAATTAAAAGAAAAAAAAAACAACAGGTGAGAACGCAAAGAAAGCATGAATAGGAGTTGAATTGGTGGAAAAGAGACCTGAGACGAGCCTTGGAGAGCTCCCAATAGCACCTTCCATAGTGGCGGCTCAACGATGCAAAATCGGTGGTAGCTTTGGAAGAGACATGAAGTGCAGTTGCAGAAGAAGTGATGAGATGAGGATTCGAAGAGGAAGATAAAGATGAAGATGAAGATGAACGCGCATAATTAAGGTTGTGAGAATAAGAAGATTTGAGTAATTGGGAACAGAAGGAGGATATAGAACTCCTCCTCAACATCATTGGTTGCACCAGATTGAAACCAAAACACCAGAAGCACTCTCACACGTTCATAGCACACGCTTTTTTTCTAGCTTTAATAATTGGGCTCACCCCGAAGTACCACAGATCAATAATTTGGGCTTCGTCATCATAATGGGCCAATGGGGCTTACTTAAGGCTTTGGAGCCCATTTCTTCCTGCACCTCTATAATTTCAATGTTCTTCCATCAATTTGTATT